ACTGCAGTTCAGTCTGCTATTTAAGTTCTATATAGATTTATTCAGAGAATAATATGGTAAGCGCAGTCATCATAGCTCATGAACCCCAGAGTAAAATAATCTTAAAGGCTGATAATAGCTCTGCAAATTATTTATCCTCCCTCAGATTAAGTTTCCTAATCTGTAAAACAGTGGTAACCATACATATCTAATGAACTGGTAGGATGGTTTTTAGTAACAGAATGTACACAAAATACCTAACATAAAACTGGGCATTGAGTTGGCTGTTATTCTATTAATTTTGACATCATTCTTCCAAGGAATAAAACTTTTAAGGAATATAGACTTAACTGACATTGCCTTATATTCTCTTCTCCATTATTAAGGCCAGTCTTTTGGAATGTCAAGTTGTAACTGCCAGGATTGCCATATAGGATAGCTTACAAAATGTTAAGACCAAGTGAGAATAAAGTTCAGCATAATCAGAAAACAATCATGAACCAGAGGGAGAAGCCAGAAGACTGGAAATGTACGAGTGTGCCACAGGCTAGAAAGGCAGGAAAACTATGGAACTTATAAGGCTCTAAGTCTGAATACTGTGAATTTTTTAATGTTTGACTTTGGGCAAGTTACATGACTCCATTTGAAAACTGAAGATAGTAATAATTGTTACATATGCTGTCAATATCCATGAACTTAATACTATATACCAGTGGTGTATATGTAGCAAATACTCAATAACTGTCAATATTAGGAAAGTAAGGAAGATTTGAGAGTTGGTCAAACATCAGATAGAAACTTATATAAAGAGATGAAATGAAGATAAATAAGCACAAAAAGACAAATGCTATGATTCCACCTATATGAAGCACCACAGTGTTCAGATTTATTAAGACAGAATGTAGAGTGTTGGTTGCCAGGGCTGAGGGAGAGATGAGGATGAGGAGTTGTATCCCAGAAGGCAAAAAGTTTCAATTTCGGAATATGAAAAGCGGTTGGAAGAGAGATGGTGGTGATGACTGCACAATGATGTGGACGTACTTAGTGCCACGGCACTGGGCACTTCATGTTTAAAACAGTATATTTTGTGTTTTATATATAGTTTTCTAAAATAAGTGAAGAAAAAAGGACAAATAGATTCCAGGCTCAGTCTAGGAACAGAATTCTTGCAACTGCCTCTCTTTTTTTTTATTATTATTATTTTCATTTTATTTTATATAGTCAATCACGTTATTTAGCTTACAAAGTGAATATTTCAACATGTGAACATCTCTCTCTAGTCCAGTTGATAAAACTATAAAATTATCTTCAACAGATAATATCACATTTCTTTGTCCCACTAATGCTTTGCCTATTTTTCTTCTAAATGTCCTTCCTCAGACTCTGTTCTTCCACAAACACTGTATCTGGTATTTACATCCATTTACTGTGTTTCTATATCCTTTAGTCAATCAGTTTCAGTCATAGAGTGAAGACACTTGGTATATATTGAATAGGGACATACAATGTCTCTCCTTCATAACCTGGCTTGCTTCACTCAGCAGTAAATCTTCCATATTCTTCTACTTTCTGTCAAAAGCCAGGGTTTTGTTGACCCCACCCCAAATGATGTAAAAGTTTGGGAATGATTAAGACCTCTTAGGAGGCAAAATGTCCATGTGCAAAAAATAGGTTTTATGACATAAGCTGAACCAAAAGCTGATTCAATACAGACATATTACATAAACCATACATTTAATTACTTTTTGATAATTTATAATGTTGGATTGTCAGGAAAGTTGTGACACATTTTTACATAGAAAAACATGTCATGACTTTCCTGGCACCCTAATAGTATGTAAAAAAAGTCAAGAGAAAGACCTAGTTTGAATCCAAATTTTTCTACCTACTAGAGAGTTGATCTTCAGTAAGTTTTAAAAATTCCCTAAATTTTAATTTTTACAGCTGAATAACAGTTATAATATCTACCTTTCAGAATTATTCTGTAAATTAAATGAGAATGTCCTTGATGTACTCACCATAATTGCAGTCAGAGCAGTTTTCATTATTAGGGTGGAGAAGGATTGCAAAGATCAAGATGCTCTCCGCCTACTGAACATGAGTCAGGCTTATTGTCACCATGCCCAAAGTAACAGCATCCTTTCCACCGCCTATGCCCCAGTCTAATAGGGCCTTTATTTTTGTTGATACAGAACATCTTCCTCTTATGTAAATTTAGACTAATTCCAGGTTTGTGCCAACTGGAACTGGAATGACTGGTTTAAATCCACACTGTGTTCCACAGCATTCTATAGCCAATTTGTTTTCAAAGCTGCAGCTCTGAGTAAATACTACTTACTTTCCCCGAAATTACCACTTCACTTACTGTCTTTACACAAATGTCATGTATAACATTAAGCACGATAAGACCTCAAAAGCCAGCATTCAATCTCCTAGGTGCTAAATTCAACAAAGTCTAATTTATGCTAAATACCATATACCACTTTCCACTGTTAATTTCCAATACAATTTGAATCTAACATACTCACACTTAATGACAAAGATAAAAAGTATACAAAGTGTAACAAGTGCCTTGCTTGAATCCACTCTATTTGCTGAAATCTAGAAAACAAAAAATAACACTCCCTGCAGCCCAGAGGTCTTGAATTAGTCTAGTTGATGATGATAGGAAACAGATAAAGTCATAATGCAGAATAGCAACTTGATAAGACCAACTCTTTTTGTAATCTCTTTATCTCTGATGCTCCTTGTGAAATTCAGAAAACTTAATCTTCTCCCACATTCTCAACAGTGTATATTTTACTGCCAAACCCCATCAATTTGGCAAGTACATGGGAACAGTAATCACTGGAGAAAATGTAAGGGGGGGAAATGAGCCAAATCAACTGATTTTCTTTCAATAGTCTATTTAATCTGCACAATGAGTAAACCGAAGTGTTCTCACTAAATGTAATTAAATGATATTTTGTAATTTCTACTTTAAAAAAAGGTCTAGTCTATACTAAAACACCATTTGTCCTTAAGAAAAAGTGGTAGAAATAGTTGCTAAAGTCATAATTTGGGATTATGATCTTATTTTCATAACAATGAATGTTTTGATATTGTCAACAAAAAGGTTTCTTTATCAGTACAATCGGAATTCAGTTTAAATAAAGTTGTGATATTGACTTCTGAGGAAACAAAGTGTATCAATAATATAGAATGTTTCCGTTAAGATACCCCATTACTGCTATGTTTCCATTTCTTCAGTCAAAAATCAATGTCACACTAGGCTATCATGAATGGCTGCCTGCCAGCTGCACTTAAACTGATTGAAACTCATCATTTCTTTAAAATCCATTTTTCTAGCAAGAATAATTTAATAACTTGCCTTATTTAAGTTTGTGATTTGATTCAGACATATAACCTAACCATGGTTTGGAAAGCATTTTACACATAAGGAAAAAAAGGTTGTCTTTATTAGTGTTACAGATGTTTACAACCTAACCAATTTTTAAAGGAAGGACAGAAACTGCAGTCAATTATTAGATACATATTCACACCTGTTGTCTGTCATGTTTCAAACCCCCTAGGTGTGAGATTTAGTCAAGGCAAATAAAATGAAGTAGTACCAGCTGCAAATACTGATTTTGTTCTCAAATGGTAATTAAAAGGAAAAACTGTACCATGTGTTATATCTATGACAATCCTATTATTTCATGTCAGGGATGGCTCTACTTTTTTATTTTTTTAATGGATTTGTGTTGTTGCTGTCAAGTTTGTTATAACGGCCAATACTTGTAGGTCTAATCTATTGACCTAATTTATATTGGTAGTCTTTCCAATTACCTTTACTAAATTTCTCCCTGAAGCATACTAGTGTGATGTCAGAAAAATTAAACATTATAATTCTCATTCCAATCCCTGTGCTTAAATCACACTTAATGAGAGGTTTATCAACATCAGATCAGACATCAGACCTAGTCAGGGTATATGTCCTCCAAAGACTGAAATACTATAAACATCAAACATTTTTTAAAAATCCAAACCATGGAGCATGTAAACATGCATGTAGTACAAGCAACCACTTCGAATACAGATAAACCATACATCATCATGACCATATTCTTCTTAAAAAACACTTCCCGGTAATGGTAACTTATATTTCCTTCAGATGGTACAAATGCTTCATTTGCATTTGCACTTTATTTTCCAAAAATAATTAATTCAATATGCTCTTGAATATTATCAACAAGATTATGTCTAAAACATCTTTAAATATACCTCGAGTCACTAGGAGTATTACTCGTTTGAAAAAATACATTAGGTCATCAGAGAAGTCATGACATATTTTTCTGTTTTTCTATGTAAAAATACATCATGAGTTTCCAGATGACCCAATAACATACATTGATTAAAAACTGAATAGATCTATGGAAAAAAAAATCACTTAAAAACACATTCCACATTGTTTTGTATTATGTATCAACCTTAAAATATGATTTTGCCTGCAAAACTTTTTTCTTACACAAGATGGCAACTGATAAGCAAAGATGGAAATACAGATGTGCATTCCTAATCCAAAATCTAAAACCTCAAATGCTCCAACATCTGAAACTCTAAGTCCACCTGATGCCAGAAGTAGAAAACTCCATATTTGACTAACATGACAGACTGTAGTCAAAACGTTGCAATACAAAAGATTTATATAAAATGACCTTCAATCTAAGTGTGTAAGGTATAGATAAAACATAGATGAATTTCGTGTTTACACCTGCATCTCATTTCCAGGACACTGCATTATGTCTATACAGATACTCCAAGGTCCAAAAATCTCTGAAATCCAAACCACTTCTGGTCCCAAGCATTTCTAATAAGGACTACTGAACTTGTACATAAGCTTGGAGTTAGCTAGAAATAGATACGAACTCTGGCTCTGCAATTTATTATTCATGTGATTTGGAGGCAAGTTATTGAATACAACGATTTCTCAGCCATAAAATGGAGATGATATCTACCTCAAGTTAAAGTCAAATACAGGTGGTTGCTCAAAGTCACCCCTGTCTCTGACCACGGCTATGGGTGACATTTGGTGCCAGAGTCACCAGAAACCTCAGCTCACCTCCCATTGCGTCAGTGTCAGGTGGTAAATCCAGGACCCACTGATGACAGGGGAAAAAAATAAATAAAAGGAAAAGAAAGTTAAGTAGCATGTGTAAACTGTCTAAAGTATCTTTAAATAGAAAAAAAAAATAAAACCCGAAACATTAATGCTAATCTAGCCAACTTGACAAGACCAGAAAGAATAATTAGAGTCAAGGAAGCAAAGTTCTACTTGTTATGGCATTTGTAGCTAAGTGCCAAGGATATAGCCACTTTAACTTTTATTTTTATAAGTATAAAACACGTACGATGTGTATGTGTGTATCTACATCTTTACAACATATATATGTTTATATGACATAGACACACACATATATACACATCGTATGTATTTTCCACCTAGGAGGAAAACCTTCAATGTGTAGAGATGATTTATGGAACTGAATAACTTGAAACAAAATGAAGTAAATACACTCTAATAGAAAAAAGATAACAGTTTTACAGTCAATGAAAAGAGGCATTTGCGGGTATCGCTCCGGTATTTGCAGCCTCTAGCAAAAACATGTTGTTAAATTTTAAAATGTCCTAACGTTATTTGTGAAAAATATGATTCACCTGACCCAACCATGGAAAATGCCCTTAACCAATCTATGAAATAGGTTTTCTCTCTGGATCATCAAGAATTATTCACCCAGAGTTGTGCATCATAGAGCTGATTTATTTTTTTAATGGAGGCTAAAATGAAAAGAATAGTTCAGAAAAAAGAATGTTTGTTTCCCTTACTATGGACTTTTGCTGGATACACGTTAGAGAAACAGAGACAGCAACAAGAGAACAGAACAAGGACGGGTGTATGTTGCTCAGCAATGTCAGTTCAGGAATAAATCAGTCCCTTTTAGATGCTGATTTTAACATACAGCTGAAGTACATCAGCGAGGAGAGAATCCAATCTCTCCCAAGATTATTTATGACAGAGCACTCCTAACTGAAGTCCAATTCGTTTGTGGAATTGCAGTCATTCTGATTCAACTAAACAATAAATGAATCTGCCTTTCCTAGTTCCAGCTCCAAAGCGTAAATGGAAACAAAGAGCAAGTACACCACAATACTTCACGATCCAGGGGCCCAGTTACACGAACAGTGGGAAAGCAGTTTTTGGAGTGGTGAAAATCCAGCAGGCAACAGAGTACAATTCATTAACCTGAGCTGCCCATGTATGTTTTGTGTCAGCTGTATTTTACCTAGTGAGCCATTCATGTCACACAAATGAGCTTGCTGGGAGCTGTTATTTTTACTTTTTTATTATCCTTCTTCATTGCACAGGCCTTGCACATCACTGAATGCAGGACATTTCAGATGACCATTCTGTGTGTGTTCCTCTAGCTCAACCCAAAGCCCACAGCACAACTAGATCTTGATGTTGATGAAAGAAAAGAAAAGCTGGGAGGCTAAAAAGGCAAACAGATTTGTCTAGAAATGGAAATAAATTTACAAATGTTGCTCAACTATTTAAGCTTTTGAACTCAGATAAACGATTTTCTTTCATGGTGCCTCAATTATTTAAAATCAATCTGTTGTCTGGTGTTCTGTAACAGGAATTTCAAAATTTATTATATTTACTAAGTTGTAGTTTACAAGGGGGAAAAACTTTTTTTCAGTCACAGAAATCTTTTTGTGCACTTTCCTTGTGACCCAAGTATATAAAGGTAAAAAATATTTCTACAAGAACTGCTTTATTCTTTTTACCCCCAAGTACATAGCAGTTTTCTTCAAAAGAAAAATGGGAACTTCAAAAATACAGCATGATGTTGCCTTGCGCGCTGGTCATGGAATCTTTCTCAAAATATTATTCTGAACATAAAATATTCATTTATTATGTTGAATTATAAAATAGTGATGCTCAAAGTGTTCCCAAACACTAGCAGTTCACCATCTAAAATTCGTATAGTATTAGAAGCTTAGAGATAACTGAAGAAGGCTGACAGGAATGTACACTGTACTGGTAAAGTCTCAAGTTGTTGAAATTAATACCCTTGATTGGATTAGTAGTTCCCGCAATGAAAATAGATCTTAAAGTCCTTCATGTTCTAGGCCTACAATCCTACACGGCAGCAAAGTTAGAAGTTTTACAGAAGTCAAATGTGCAGAGAGCCAGGTGGTGGAGCAGTGGTAATGCATTACCAGTGCGTAATGACCCCCATGGAAACATTCTGGGTTTGTGTCCTGCCACCTCCCTGAGCACACTGGGATCTAGCATGCATGCTGTGATACGGGCCAGCTAGTACTTGGGATGGACTGCAGCACAAGGACCCTACTGGAGATGTCTCTGTCTATCTCTGTCTCTGTGCCTATCGCTAAATAAATAAAATGTTAAATATTAAAATTGCTTTATTTTTTTAAAAAAGGAAGTAAAACATTCAGCTCCATACTTCCTGCTTCTTTCTGCTTTAACAACACATTTATAAACTGTTTCTAAGGATATAAAACTAACTGTTTGGGAAATGGCCATAACAAAATTGAACTTCCATTTTATATTTAAAAATATAATGAAATATAATGCCACCCTGTTCCCTCTTTCGTCAACAGTTTTATTCCTGAACACATGGATTTGTATGAAGGTCTTCCTAGTAAATGCTCTTATAACAAACTGTTCTATCTGTGAAAACTGTGACAAGAACAAAAGAGGAAGAATTTATTTTCACCAGATGAGAACGGAGCATTTCTCAGAACCCACCAAATCATTACTTATTAACCAGATCATTCAGAAATAAGAAAAAAAAAAATAAGAAGATACCCCTTCTTTATTTGGGGCCCACATGCAGGTTTCTTTTCCTTAGGAGGAAGTTCAAATGAAGCATAGACTATTCAGCTGGTGGTACATATGAAAGGTAGGCATAATCAACCACCAAGGGAAACAAAGTGTGTGTTGGGGAAGGGGGAAATTCATGCACACATGTATGTGCAGGGCTATCTATCAGGTTGTTGGGGAAGTCATGACATAGAAACACACATCATGACTTTCCCAACAACCTATACATTTGTATTAGAGATCGGCCAATGAACAGCAACCAACTCAAACCTGGCCAAGGCGTTCCCGCAGATACAAATTACGATGGCAAAAGAAAAAACACTCTAAATATTGTTACAAATATGTTTTAAATAGCTTTCCATAATTAGAGAAAACAAAGTCTAGTGAACATAGCCATGGGAACAATGTAAAAGGGACAAAGAATGATTCTGGATGAAAAGCACAGGAGGAAAAGAATACAAGCCCCTGATGAATCATATGAGGCTTCAATATTGCATTAGGATTGAAGCCAACACTAAATGGGGTTTTTGAGTATTTAAGTTAAAATTCTATTTTTGAGAACCCATGAAGAGTGTATTTAAGATTAGTAACATTGGCACAATATGCAGATAATTATTCAGAGATATCTTTTGATATGGTTTCAAATACATGAACTCAATTTTTAAAGACCCAAGTATTAGAAAGTGGTGTTTCTGTTGCATATTTTAAAACCTTAGAGCTTTACTGAAAACTACATTTAAATGTTACTGGGGTCAGACAATGTCATTATTTACAATAACTAAGATTCACTTAATGTCGCATGAAATTATTTTTTTAGAAGTAAAAAATTCGTTGAGTTATTTTCACAGATTTTACTAATATTGGCTGGGCTTTCTCTGGTTTCTACAAGTGTTTCCAATTTTTACGAATAGAAAATATGTTAAGAAAGTGGATATGGAAGAGAGAAAACTTGTTGTAACCCACTAAAATTTTATGTGATAAAGGTCTCACCTAGAATATATATATGGTGATAAAATCTGTCATTCTCTACTAAAATTAAACATTTCCCCAAACATAAACTATCTAAAGTTCAATGCTATCAAAGAATTACAACACACAATAAAACCCGATAATAGCTATTTACTAAGCAAAAACTTACAGGCGCGGTGCTAGGTGGAAGCAGAGTACTAGGGCCAGATCTCAAGGAGCACGCATCAGGTGCAGTGGGCATACATCAGAAGAAGAGTGAGCCTTAGGGAAGGCTATTAAGGAAGAGGGGAAGGTGTATATACCAGGGCAACGAGGGTGGGAAAGCACTCTAGACAGCAGAACATGCAAAGCACAGAGGTGCAAGGAAACTGGATGTGATTCTGTTTGGCCACAGAGCTCGCCAAGATATAAAGACCTTAAGAGAAAGGCAAAGTCAAAACCAACAGTTTGCATAATGGCTGTGTTGCTGGGCTCCCATGCAGTCGACCACAGTTTGAGTCCCAGACCAGGTGGCTTAAACTCACACCAGGTATGTGTGCATGCATGCCCAAGATCCCGAGAGGAGAATGGAGGAGAAGGGACTGTGGCGTAGACATCCGGCCTTGGGGGGTGATTTCTCTTTTTGTTTCTCTGTCTTTCTGCTGAGCACATGCACTCCATAGCAAAAACCTCTCAAAAAAAAAAAAAAAAAAAAAAAAAAAAGAGAGAGAGAGAGAAAGGCAAAACCTGAGGTAACATTTAGACAAAACCAGAAATCAAAATTCTTAGATATAATGTGTTGATTTTTCGATAACAGCAACCACATCAATGTTTTTCAAAACACTGAAGGGGCAAACAAACCATTTTTGGAAATTACCTAACTTCACAGATTACACAGCCATTTAAAAATCAATTCTCTAAGACATAAAATTTTTGCATCAAGTTACTTCTTATTTGGGATAAGCCTTTTTCCTCCAAATACCCTCATTGAAAGATTTCAGAGTGATAAAGGCTTTAACAGCTCTGTTTTGGTGGCCATGAAGGTAAATTAACTAGTTTTCATTTAAGCAGAAATTTGTTTTCTTTTCCTCATCTCAAAGTAAACGAGGTAGTCCTAATAAGTACTCTGGAGGGACTCTGAAAGTCTTCAAATACATGCTAAGATGCAAGGAAGGAAGTTTACAAATATGGACCATAACAAATGTGGAACATTTTTGTTTTCACATATCAATCTCTCACCTGGTAAGTAGAAATGAACACAAGAATGCTATTTCATGGATGAAAAACTCCTGTGAAATAGGACATTT